AAATAGTCACATTTAGTTTAAAGAGACCTGCTTGACAATTGCTCTGCACACAGACAGGAGAAACTCAGAATTACATCAATCATTTAGGCTGAACCATGTTGACAGAGAGATAAACTCTGCTATGAAGCAACTTTATGGTCACTAGTTTGATTATTGGCAGTGGCCCATTCTACAAGGTGTGTTTATGTTTTTTGGGAGGGTTTCATGCCTGTTCTCCAGTTTCCTCCTGCTATGCAAGAGCATAGGAACTGAATATCTGAGTCTGCAACAGTTATTTAGGGAGATTGAAGCCCACTTTAATATAAAAGCAATGAGCTACATTGAGGGCGCAGCAAAACACATTTTAAATGTCTAACACCGTAAAAAATGTAACATTTTTGAGCCTTGGGCAGCAGGCCGCATATAAAACTTACGCTCTCTGTGTAAAAGTGGTATTTTTGTAGCTGTCACTCATGCACAATCAGGGGCGGACTGACATTTCATGGGGCCTCCGGGCAATTGGGGATCATGGGGCCCCTGTGTCCTTGCCCAAACTCAAAAAAGCCTATGAAAAAGGTACCAGGGGCATCTCATGGGGCCCCCTACTGCCCAAGTTTCCAAATGGTCAGTCCGCCCCTGTGCACAATACTGATTGCAGAGATGTACAGTGCCCAGCATAAAGGAGTACAACCCTTTTGAAAAGTAAAACAGAGCATTGCACCCACAAGCAGTGGATCAGGCCACGTACAGCTCTGTGCCCACAATTCTGTAAGGGCTGACAGTTCCGAGCTATAGGAAGAATGAATAGACTACAAGGGCACTTCCAGTACTCAGCATAAATGAGTACACCCCTTTTGAAAAGTAAGATTTTAATCAATATGTCAATGAACACAAGAACAATTTCCAAAATGTTGACAAGACTGATTTTTAAAGAAAATTTGCTTAGCTCATTACATGAAAGCAAGGTTAATAATATAACCTAGATTATAAAATCTTCAGTTTTACTGAAATTAGTTGATGCAAAACTTAATACACCCCACAACAAAAACTACTACATCTAGTATTTTGTATGACCTCTATGATCTGTAAGGCAGCACCAAGTCTTCTAAGGCATTGAATGAACAAGTTGGTGACATATTGCAACATCTATTGAACGACCTCTATTACAGTCTGGATGCTGGATGGAGAGTGATGCTCAACTTGTCTCTTCAGAATTCCCCTTAGGTGTTCAATTGGGTTCGGATCAGGACACATACTTGGCCTCTGAATCAGTTTCACTGTGTTCTTCTTCAGAAATGCAACAGTGGCTGTAGATGTGTGTTTTGGATCATTGTCATGTTGGTAAAGTGCACGACGACCAAGGGTACGGAGTGATGGTAGCATCTTCTCTTTCAATATAGAGCAGTACACCTGGAAAATTCTAGGCTTTTTGTGCATGGGCTTTAGGAGAGGTTTCCTTTGTGGATGACAGTTTGTGGACTTTGTGGACGCCATTCCTCTGCAGTGTATGCTGTATTGGGTCACAGGAAACAATCACCCTAGTTTTGCTTTCTCCTTCTTTAGCTAACTGCAATTAACTTGCAATGAACTTGCATGGCAGTTTTCTGCAACCCTTCTCATCATAAGATGCTCCTGTCAAGGTGCAAACTTCCATGGACAGCCTGGATGTCTCTGTGAGATGGTTGCAGTTCCATCTTTGTTAAATTTTTGTATAACCTTTGCTACCATATTCTGACTGATAAGCAAAGCTTTGCTGATCTTCTTATAGCCTGCAGCTTTCTTGCGTAAAGAAATTATTTTCTTTCTCAGGCCTTGTGATATTTCTCTTCAATGTGGTGCCATTGCTGACAGCATGAAATCGGAAGGGGTTTTCTTTGTTAAGCAACACCCTTTTAAAAACAATTGTTTGCTGGACACCTGTTTAATGAATAATTAGACTCAACTGATTTTGTTGCCTAAAGTTTAGCTCGGCTCCTAAGACTTTCATTGGGGTGTGTTCATTTTTGCAACATGGTCTTGAATGAATTTGTTAGGAAAAATACTTTTTTGTGTGTGCAAATTAACAAATCTTGTTTGCAATCATTGGCCCGCATTTGTGGGAGTATTTTGTAGTATATTTCCCATAGAAAATGTTGATTCTGAAAGGAAAGGAAAGGTTTTCTGACAAATCTGTTGGAGTGTACTCATTTATGCTGAGCACTGTAGGTCTACATAATTGGGCCATGTTGGCCCAATGCAGATAGATTGCTGCTTTCACAAAGAGAGTAGTGGTCTTTATCGACAGCTTTTTCCAGAGCCTCATGATGATGTTATGTTGTTGGTTTAATGACAAACAACAGTAAGACTATAAAATGTGTATTATTGCACTCTTAATTTTAGTAGTTCCTTTTACATTAAACTTTAGTTGAGCTTTTATAGTCCATTAGAAAGGAAATAATGTGAATCCTTAAAAGCAAAGAGGAATCTGTTGGCGAATTAAGTTAATTGATAAAATAAATACTTGTGTTGTGCATATAGTGCTTTAAGACCTTTTGCTGTGTTATCATCTTAGGTTTTTACTAGTTAATGTTCTCCATCACCATAACGTTCCATTATGTTATTTTCTTAATGCTGGCAGTTTCAGGAGAGACTTTCGATAGCTCGAAACAGAAAATCTGAGGTGGATCTTATGGATATTACTCAGAGGAGATCTCCCCAAATGACTCCAGAACCATTGCCAGAGGTGAGTGATTGTCTTAACCTTTCCAATCTGGGCCAAATCTGACATTCCTCTCCTACATGTAAAAAACACTTTTTTGCTAGAAATCTTCCTTACTCCCAAACATTATATATTTTTTAAGCATTGCCCTAGAAAATAAAATGGTGGGTGTTGCATATTTCTGTGTCACGTGTTATTTGTGCATCGGTTTTTCAAACACAATTTTTTTGTACAAAAATACATTTTAATAAATTTTAATTCACAAAACACAATATAATACCAATTTTTTTGGTAAAATATAAAAGATGATGCTATGTCAAGTAAATAGATACGTCATGCTTTAAAATTGCGTACACATGTGGAACTGCATCAAATTGCGATACCTAAAAATCTCCATAGGCGACACTTTTAAATCCTTTACAGGTTACCAATTTAGACTTACACAGGAGGTCTGGTGCTAGAATTATTGCTCTCACTCTGGTGTTCGTGGCAAAACCTCACATTTGTGGTGTGATTGCCGTTTATGTATGCGTACGGGATTGACGCCTGCATTTGCCTTTGCTCATAAGCACGGTGGGATGGGGGAGCTTTAAACATTTTTAAAATTTTATTATTTCATTAGATTTTTTTTTACACTGTAACATTATTTTTTTTAATCGCTTTTATTGCTATTACAAAGGAAGAACAACATCCCTTGTGATAGCATGATACATGACAGGTCCTCTTTATGGAGAGATCTGGGGCCAGATGTCTCCGCTGGCCTCCAGAGGATCAGATCAAACCCAAAATAGTTTTTTCCGCTGTTTGTAAAAGTAATCCAGTGACCCTTTAGCTCAGGGGTCCTCATGCGGCCCGCCGAGGCCATTTATACGGCCCGCCGGCAGGGGCGTATTTTCTGCGAGGAAGGGACACTAAGTACAGGGGGGACAGGGGGCTGCTATACCTTACCTGGCTCCGGTCCCAGACCCACGACGATCCAGTCCAGGAAGCGCTGCTCCTTCATTCACTCCGGCCACTCCCTCACTCCTGCCGCTCGGCTCCGCCTCCTCACCGGTGATTGGGCGCCAGAACTGTAGCTCAGGAAAGGCACACAGGCGGCCAATCACCTGCGAGGAGGTGGAGCCGAGCGGCCCCGCGAACATCGAGTGAGGGAGGGAGAGAGGCCGGAGTGAAGAAGGACAGCTGACAGGTAAGTGTGCCGTGCAGATAGTGCTGTTGCAACCAGGTATGCTGGCTGCAGCAGGACCATGCTGGAACAGGGGTCAGCAAGTTAAGTGTCATTGGTATCAGTGGGAGGAATAGTGCCCCATCATTGGTGTCACTGATACTAATGATGGGGCATTATTCCTCCCACTGACACCAATGATGGGGCACTATCCCTCCCACTGACACCAACGATGGAACACTATTCCTCCCACTGACACCAATGATGGGGCACTATTCCTTCCACTGACACCAATGATGGGGTACTATTCCTCCCACTGACACCAATGTTGGGACACTACCCCCCCCTCCCACTGAGACCAATGACGTATTATTCCTCCCACTGGCACCAAAGATGGGGCACTATTCTTCCCACTGACACCAATGATGGGACACTATTCCTCCCACTGACACCAATGACGGGACACTATTCCACTATTCCTCCCACTGACACCAATGTTGGGACACTATCCCCTTCCCCCACTGACACCAATGACGGGGCACTATCCCCCCCCCCCCACACTGACACCAATGATGGGGCACTATTCCTCCCCCCTGACACCAACAATGGGGCACTATTTCTCCCCCCACTGACACCAATGATGGGGCACTATTCCTCCCACTGACACCAATGATGGGGCACGTTTCTTCCCACTGACACCAATGATGGGGCACTATTCCTCCCACTGACACCAATGATGGGGCACTATTCCTCCCACTGACACCAATGATGGGGCATGTTTCTTCCCACTGACACCAATGATGGGGCACTATTCCTCCCACTGACACCAATGATGGGGCATTATTCCTCCCACTGACACCAATGATGGGGCACGTTTCTTCCCACTGACACCAATGATGGGGCACTATTCCTCCCACTGACACCAATGATGGGGCACTATTCCTCCCACTGACACCAATGATGGGGGCACGTTTCTTCCCACTGACACCAACGATGGGGCACTATTTCGCTCCATAAGACACACTTGGGGGGAAATGTCTGTGCGTCTTATGGAGCGGCCGGCCCAGTATTCCAGCTGCCGTCATATGTCCGCAGTCTCTGGTCATCTCCTGTACTATGTCTGTAGTCTCTGGTCATCTCCTGTACTATGTCCGCAGTCTCTGGTCATCTCCTGTACTGTGTCCGCAGTCTCTGGTCATCTCCTGTACTGTGTCCGCAGTCTCTGGTCATCCCTGTACTGTGTCCGCAGTCTCTGGTCATCTCCTGTACTGTGTCCGCAGTCTCTGGTCATTCTCCTGTACTGTGTCCGCAGTCTCTGGTCATCACCTGTACTGTGTCCGCAGTCTCTGGTCATCTCCTGTACTGTGTCCGCAGTCTCTGGTCATCTCCTGTACTGTGTCCGCAGTCTCTGGTCATCTCCTGTACTGTGTCCGCAGTCTCTGTTCATCTCCTGTACTGTGTCCGCAGTCTCTGGTCATCTCCTGTACTGTGTCCACAGTCTCTGGTCATCTCCTGTACTGTGTCCGCAGTCTCTGGTCATCTCCTGTACTGTGTCCGCAGTCTCTGGTCATCTCCTGTATTATGTCCACAGTCTCTAGTCATCCCCTGTACTGTCTGCAGTCTCTGGTCATCTCCTGTACTGTCTGCAGTCTCTGGTCATCTCCTGTACTATGTCCACAGTCTCTGGCCATCTCCTGTACTATGTCAGCAGTCTCTGGCCATCTCCTGTACTGTGTCCGCAGTCTCTGGTCATCTCCTGTACTGTGTCCGCAGTCTCTAGTCATCTCCTGTACTATGTCTGCAGTCTCTGGTCATCTCCTTTACTATGTCCGCAGTCTCTGGTCATCTCCTGTACTGTGTCTGCAGTCTCTGGTCATCTCCTGTACTATGTCCGCAGTCTCTGGTCATCTCCTGTACTGTGTCCGCAGTCTCTGGTCATCTTCTTTACTATGTCCGCAGTCTCTGGTCATCTCCTGTACTATGTCCACAGTCTCTGGTCATCTCCTGTACTATGTCCGCAGTCTCTGGTCATCTCCTGTAGTATGTCTGCAGTCTCTGGTCATCTCCTGTACTATGTCCGCAGTCTCTGGTCATCTCCTGTACTATGTCCGCAGTCTCTGGTCATCTCCTGTAGTATGTCCGCAGTCTCTGGTCATCTCCTGTACTGTGTCCGCAGTCTCTGGTCATCTCCTTTACTATGTCCGCAGTCTCTGGTCATCTCCTGTACTGTGTCCGCAGTCTCTGGTCATCTCCTGTACTATGTCCGCAGTCTCTGGTCATCTCCTGTACTGTGTCCGCAGTCTCTGGTCATCTTCTTTACTATGTCCGCAGTCTCTGGTCATCCCCTCTACTGTGTCCGCAGTCTCTGGTCATCTCCTGTACTGTGTCCGCATTTGTTCATAGTTTGTTTTTTTTTTAAAACTATAGTCTGGCCCTACAACGGTCTGAGGGACAGTGAACTGGCCCCCTGTTTAAAAAGTTTGAGGACCCCTGCTTTAGTTGCTCAGATTATTTTTACCAGCTTCAGAATCCCTGTCTGAAAAAAAATGATATCATCCTTCCCATCCAAGGATGTACCGGTATGTCTTATGAGCGAGAAGCAGTCGAAATGTGCCTCTTGGCAAAACCTTTTGCTTTTAGTTTTGGATAAAGTGGGAAAGAGCCTCTGTCATGGTTGTATTACTGCCTGTATCTACTGTACATAGGAGATATCCACAACTCTGTTTTCACTGGTAACCATTGTCATCTAGGAAAAAAAAGGTGAAATCCAAAATGTTAGCATTGTCCTTAGAATAAGAGGTAAAGGAAAATCTTCCAATGGGACCATCTATTGTGGGAAATACTGTCTACGAAGGAAATTCACCTCGCTTTTGGAAATTTCCTTTAACTCTCTTTTGTGTCTGTGGGGACAGGATATTTACCCAATGGTACACAAACAGCAAAAAATAAAATGGCAATGATTTTACTCCTTCCTCAATATATCTACAACTAAAAAAAGTTTTGACTATACATACGCTTTAAGGTATCCATAAATATTAGAAGCTAATGCTAGAAATGTCATAAGGAGTATTATCATAGTGATTCTATTTATTTGTTGATTAGCAAGAACAAAGAAGCTTTCTTTGCACTTACTAATCAATCAATACACTAGTTTACCATGAAGATGGCGGTCAGTGTCACATTGTATCACACTAGTTTACCATGAAGATGGCGGTCAGTGTCACATTGTATCACACTAGTTTACTATGAAGATGGCGGTCAGTGTCAGTCACATTGTATCACACTAGTTTACTATGAAGATGGGGTTAGTGTCACATTGTATCACACTAGTTTACCATGAAGATGGCGGTCAGTGTCACATTGTATCACACTAGTTTACTATGAAGATGGCGGTCAGTGTCACATTGTATCACACTAGTTTACTATGAAAGATGGCGGTTAGTGTCACATTGTATCACACTAGTTTACCATGAAGATGGCGGTCAGTGTCACATTGTATCACACTAGTTTACTATGAAGATGGCGGTTAGTGTCACATTGTATCACACTAGTTTACTATGATGATGGCGGTTAGTGTCACATTGTATCACACTATTTACCATGGCGGTTAGTGTTACCACATTGTAATCACACACTAGTTTACCATGAAGATGGCGGTCAGTGTCACATTGTATCACACTAGTTTACCATGAAGATGGCGGTCAGTGTCACATTGTATCACACTAGTTTACCATGAAGATGGCGGGGTCAGTGTCACATTGTATCACACTAGTTTACCATGAAGATGGCGGTCAGTGTCACATTGTATCACACTAGTTTACCATGAAGATGGCGGTCAGTGTACATTGTATCACACTAGTTTACTATGAAGATGGCGGTCAGTGTCACATTGTATCACACTAGTTTACTATGAAGATGGCGGTTAGTGTCACATTGTATCACACATGAAGATGGCGGTCAGTGTCACATTGTATCACACTAGTTTACTATGAAGATGGCGGTCAGTGTCACATTGTATCACACTAGTTTACTATGAAGATGCGGCGGTTAGTGTCACATTGTATCACACTAGTTTACCATGAAGATGGCGGTCAGTGTCACATTGTATCACACTAGTTTACTATGAAGATGGCGGTTAGTGTCACATTGTATCACACTAGTTTACTATGAAGATGGCGGTTAGCTGTCACATTGTATCACACTAGTTTACCATGAAGATGGCGGTTATTGTCACATTGTACCCATCACACTAGTTTTACCATGAAGATGGCGGTTAGTGTCACATTGT